CTAACAAAATAAATTACCTTAAATTTTACTAAAAATATTCTAAATTTGTTCCCTGATATAATAATTCAAGAAAAAAATCTATAGATATCTATAACTTTTTCTGTAATTATTTCTAACTTTTCGTTTTTCGTTTTTTTTGGTATTTTAATCAATAATTTTGAAAGGTGAGGGTTTGGATTATTTTGTCGTTGGTTTAGCGGGTTTTTATACCTTTTGGGGCTTTTGAGGTTCTGATTTTGATCTTCAGTTTGATTTTCTAGGGTTAGGATTTTGATTTTGGTTGATTATGAACGAAAAAGGATTGATGATGAATCAACAACAACAAGTGATGATGAGTATGAGTCAATCTCAGATCATGAATCCACATCTTCAACAACAACTGGTAATCATTAATCAAATTGATTAATTTAAATTTGCTTCTTATTATATGAATACTGCGTCGTTTAGATTAGTTATATGCACTAATATTGTAATGAAATTTATGCCGTCAGTATTAAGTACTTACCATTTGTTAAAGGTTACCAATCAATGCTATTAGATAGAGTGTACTTGCAATTACCTAATTGTGTAAATATTTTATACACCATCATTGCGCACAACTTAAATGAATTTTGTACACCATTAGTGTTACTTACCATTTATTAAAGATTAACCAATCAACAACAATACGCAGACATTACCCTACCTTGTGAAGGTAGAGAGGTTGTTTCCGATAGACATGTCTCAAGTAAAGGATAATCCTAGCATTCATGAAAATTCCAGCATTAAATAGAGTTCTATTAAATAAATTATCTGCAATTACCTGATTGTGTAAATATTTTATTACATCGTCAGTGCACAGCTTAAACTCAATCTAAAACCCTCAGTTTCATTCACAGATGCAACAGCAGCAACCATCAATGATGAATCGGAGCTATGGGATTTGGCCGCCGACAATGACAATTGATCAGATGAAGTTTCAGAACCCTAATGTTATGAAGGGCCATGGATTTGTTGCCGGAGGAAAGCTGTCGAAAAACTTAGGACCTAGGAACAATTGGAAGGGTAAAAAGGGAATTAAGAATGATAAGAGGATGGATAGTGGGAGGAGAAAAGAAAAGGCTATAATGGCTTCTGGGTATCTTAATGGTGATGGAAATGTTGGAGGATTTAGTGGTGGATATAAGCCACCAACACTTAATGAATTGCAAAATCAGAACAGATTAAAGGCCAGGAGATTTTTCCCTAAGAAGAAATTTTATCATAATAATAATAATAACAACAATATGGGTGCCCCTTTTGCTCCCAGGAACACGACGTCATTTATTATTAGGGCAAAGAAGAGTGGTGGTATTGCCTCATTGGTGTCACCCTGTCCTGTGACTCCGGCAGTGTTGCCAACCCCAAATTTCTCTCCGTCGAGGGAGGTATTGGTGGATATGGCGAAGGAGGAGTGGGGGGTTGATGGGTATGGATCGATGAAGGGTTTGATTAGATTGAGAT